TTCATTTTAAACCTGATGCATTAGCTACCTTAAAGCTAGGAGCCTGTTAAGTACCAGGTTCTTGAGTTTAAATATAGAATTATGTATGCACCGGTTGGCTTCATATGGGGTTTCAAAGAAGTGTAGCGCATGCTGTGCGTCAGGAACAATTTGTATCAAAAGAATCAATCATAACATTTAAATATTTTTTTTAAAGTAATCATTGTCATTAGTATTATAACAGCAAATAAGAAGTTTATTTATACTTTTCTATTTAAAAGTTTTTCAGCATTGTTGTAAGGGTATCAAGCAGCCCTAAACAGTCAGGGAAAGATTTTGGTAATAGTAGTGCATCATCTTTAAATGTGTGTGGAAACTTGACATCATCCTATAGTGAAGTGACACCAAGTGAGAGTCTTACTTCAGTCTGTGAGCCTGAGGGAGGAACTCCAGTCCATGCCCCCAGTCAAGAAGGTAATTACTGCTGTTTCACTAGTATGCTCTATTGCAATAAATTCAGCCATAGTTACCATTAGCCTTTTGTAACCCAGGTGGAATCTGTACTTACTTAGGATAGTTCACTTTTTGTCTTAATGCAGTCTTTGAGCCTGGAGGAGGGACTCCAATTCCAGCTCAGAAATATGAGGCCTCCCCAGCAATTGATGCCCCCAGTCAAGAAGGTAATTACTGCTGTTTAATGAGTATGTTCTATTGCAAGTAGTTCAGCCAAGGGCTGTGGTTAGCCTTTTGTATATTCCAGTTGGAACATTCTCTCAATCTGTTATTACTTAAGATAGTTAACTTTTGTAAAATTTGCCAGTGTTTTAACTCTTTAACTTAAATATCTGAATGTTAATTCTCCCCACTAGCTGCTACACATTTCCTTGTAAATTAGTTATTAGTATTTGATTGGATCAAGGTAAAAAGTTCTACCAGATACAAAGTTTGAGAATTCTCACTACCTGTTTGCTGGATAATGTGTGAATATTACAGGAAGAAGTAACATGTTAAATAGGGTTAAGCTGAAGAAAGAGTCATTTGCAATTATTATGCATTTGTAGACTCAGTATAAACCTCGCCATGAGTGAAATATAGTTGATGTTTTATCATGGGGAATAATCAAGGAATTTTCTGTGAATGTTTACATATCTACTAAACATAAAAATAAACATTCAAATTGTCAACCATTTGACCTCTTCATAGTGCTTGTTCAGGAAAGCTCTGACCCCCCTGTTGATCAACCTCCCCAGTCCCCATCATCACCTGAGCCCAGTGGAAAGAAGATTGGAAGTAGAAAGTTCAATGGAACTTGCATTTGGTATAAAAGAACCTTTGATTTATTTAATTTTGTATATTCATTCATTAAATTTTATTAATTTTATTTTCACCTTCATTTGCCAAATGATGATGTAGGAGTGTCCTTTGGCAAGTGGTGGCTGTTGATTTTCCTTGGGATAACCTAAATTATCAGTGGGCTCATTAACAGTCACCCTAGGCTTATGAGAAGGAACACGTATACTAAAGAATAAAATAATAATGTAGACAGTTACCCTGTTTAAAAATCAAGACAGTGGTTAAGAAGTTCAATCAACATGGGCTGATCATTGATTAATGATTGAATGATTTTATTCTTGATTAGAAATCCTGCTGGTTCAAATGGCCATGAAAGTCTTCAGCGGTTAGGCCAACAGCAGAGGACATTGAGAAAGGTAAATTGTAATGTAACTATCTTTGTGGTGAAAAATTTAAGGCAATAACATTCTATCATGCTCAGGGTTTTTACTGACAGTAAGCTCTCGTATCTGATGAGTATTTTCCTATGAATGATCGATAAAATACCTAAAGGTGAAAGGTTTTTTTTATGACTTTGTTAACCATTTTGTATTGCATGAGATTTCAACTGCAATTAAGGTGTGTGAAAAGTTGTGTGATTGTCTGGGTTGAGATAATTAATGTATAATTAATTTAAGGATTTCCTCTGATGAATTAACTACAATTGAATTGAAAGGAAATGTCAAAACCATGCAGACTCACAGGTTGAAGAAGATTGCATTGCTTTGGAACAATCTCATCGTACCTGTGATGAATATGATGTCAGCTGACTTTCTTCACAAAAAGTGGTGAGTGATTGAAATCACAAGGGCTTGAGTTTTTGGTTCATGTAGTTTAAGAAAATAAGTCTTAAAAGTGGTATGATAATCTTTTCTGAAAGGAGCTTTAAATATTTCTTTATTCAGATCACTGTGATGAATCAGGCAATGATGTTTTCCTTTTGAATGCTGGGAAGGTACCTTTAGTATCAAAACTGTTCCAAAGGTCAAAATCAAAGATGCTTACTGACAATCTCAGCTCATAAGTGAGAGTATTTCTTTAATTCTATGTTAATGACTAAACTATGTTAATGACTATGTTATCCAAAAGAAAACTTTTTAAGGTGGTAATTAGATGCACACTCTGCTCAGGATATTTGGGATCTAGTTGAAAGTGCAGTGTAGATACTCACATGATGGTTATATACAATTCAGTTATTCCCTATCGTGTAAAATGCATTGAAATTGAGGTAAATTTTTGTTTCCTGTAATCCAAGATTTTACATCTTGTATTACCAATCATTAACTTTAATGTGGGTTAATCATGTTTGTTTGATCTCTGAATTCAGAAATGTAGAAGTCAGTGACAAGATTTTTCCTGATGTACTCAGTACATCAGGAAAAATCTTGTCACAAACAACTTCACAGTTTTTATCCATGGAAAGGAAGATGGTGCGAAGCTTTATTCATTATAACTATAATGTGGGTTAATCATCTTTGTTTGATCTCTGAAGTTCAGAAATGTAGAAGAGTACATCAAGAAAAATCTTGTCACTGACAAATTCACAGTTGTTATCCATGGAGAGGATGATGGTGCAAACCTTTGTTCAATTCAATTGGCAAAGAAATTTTACAAACTATTAAAAAATAGGTAAGAGAAGTTTGTACTGATGGAAACATATACCTACTTCAAATATTAGCAACCAAATCAACAAAGTCAGAAGTCAAATGATAAATTTGGTGAATTATACTGGTACTGGTAAAAAGCACCTTATGATGCTGATAACTTTTTATATCAGTGGATGTATTACAATTATTTTGCTGGTAGAGTACAGAATATGGTTTTATCTGACAGATTTTAGTAAATAAATGATATAAATTAAACTGTAATGTCTCATTCATTGCTTTTTTTCTGCAGGTTCTTTGAAGGATTGAACTTTTGCATCATTTTAAAGGCTATAAATTCACCCTGAAAGCTGTTTTCAAGCTTGCCAAACCATTCATCCTGTGAGTGTAAGTTAGAAACAAATAGTTTATTTTATAACTGAAAAACATGATACTGCTTGAGTTGTGATATTCTTGTAAAATTAAAACCAAGTGGATTTAATAAAAGTGATTTTACTGCACTTGGTTTGAGTTCATAAAACTAAAGCCATTTACGTTAAAAAATGCAATCAGAAAAAAAGCAGAGACTGTTACAAAGAGATTATCTGGCTTCATTAACTGAGTTGATAATGTAAATTGGTCTCTGTAAAGAAATTCTAAAGTTGATGCTTCAAGTGTTGTATTCCTTTGTAAGAGCAAACAAAGGAGTCTATTAGAACTGAAAGATAAAGCATGACTGTGAACTGCCTATAGAAGGGTTAAATGAGATTGAACACGTTGTAATAAATTTATGTTATACATGTGAATGGCTGACAGGCTCAAATTTCCATAGAGTGTATGCTAAGATTTTATGAATGTGAAAATATTTTTGGTATTAGACAATTGAAGTTTGTGTTTTCAAGTAACAGCAAGATTAAAAAGAAATTTTCATTGAAAAACATCTGTCAAAAATGGGAAGTTATTCCGTTTTACTATTAATAATAATGCCTGTCATTTGCTGACAGTGTTCATCTTTTTTTAGGAACAATGTGTGAAGCGAAAGATTTCTATGGTAAATGATGTTGGTGAACTTGTTTTGTTCCACAGTAAGTACTTCATTAAAAGCTGTATGAAGTATATGCTAGAAAAGAATATGAATGCATTTGTTTAGCATTTTCAAATATTGGAATGGCATAGCAATGAAGGTAATAACTTTGATGTTGTGATGTACTGGATTGCATTACATTCCATGACATTTAATTAGTGGGTACAAATTATGACAAGTGTAATTGAAAGTTAAAGTGAAGAAGAAGTGAAAACTATTTTAGATTCAAAACTCCTTGAAAAGCTTATTGTTATATTATTAGCATTTAATGTGTTAAATTATGAGTGTTTTTCAGTTGATTTCCTTTCTGTTTTGTTTTAGGTATTCTGGACACAATTCTGTATTATACATATAATGCAGAATTGTGTCCAGAATACCTAAAGCATGTTAGTTTCTACAGATACCATGTTGGGGTTACAGTACATAATGAATTGTCTACTTGGAAAAATTTGGTGCAATTTGTTCTACTGTATCACTATCAATTCGTGTAGCAGCTGATGTTGTCTTCCCCAGCCATCTTGTTTCCTCTTTGGTTTTTTCTTATTATCTCTTGTATTTGCCTTTCAAAGAATATATTTTGCTGATTATATTTAATGATAAAACTCTGTGACAGTTAAAGTCCATCAAATAATTTGACTTCAGGTATGTCTCTTGAACCCTTTCACTCTCAAGATCTCCTTAGTAAATCTCCTTACTGTCCTCCATACAATTCTCATGATGTTAGTTTGGAGAATATGGTATTGGATCAACTACAGAAGTAATTGCCAATTGATTTTTCTCTTTATTCTCATCACTTGTCTGCCAGATATTGTATTGATATTGTAAGGAGAAATTCTGCCTTGGTCACTCATGGGAGTTAAAAGGGTTAAAAGGATGATTTTCTCTCTGTTTCCTTTCAGCTTCCAATAGCAAATCTAAGAGAAAGTTTTCTACAACTCTGAAACCCTTCAGCATGATGAAGACAAAATCAGAATCCAATCTTGCCCAGCGATTTGACTTTGTGGCTGTGGATATTCCTCTGGATGGTGAGCCAGAGCAGGAGAAGGATAAGGAAAATGAAACACAGACAACAGAGGATAAGAAAGATGAGCCAATTAAGCAGGATGAAGCACCTCCTCATTCCGGTCAAAGAGGAAGGTGGCCAAGTGTTTTTTGAAGAGGGTCTAAAAGAATTTTATGATTCAACCACGACTGGAGAGAAGGTTGAAGCTAAGGAATCAAAGGCTCCAGAGATCACTCTGGAGGATCTTGATGCTGTTTCAGGACAGACAACAGAGTAAGTACAAATTAACCTTTGAAAACTCAAGATCTGATTGTTAATTCTCTCCTCCAGCTGCCACACATTTCCCTTTAAATTAGTTACAAGAATTTGGTTATAGATCAAGATACCAACTTCCAGCTGATAGGTTTGAGGATTCTCATTACCTGTTTGCCAGACAACATCTTGATATTACAAGGAGAAGTTACATGTTAATCACTTTTGTTAGCTAAAGTGTTGTAAAGAAATGTTGTATAAAGTTTCTGAAGTCGAGGTTTGCTGCTGAAAAGAAGACAATCCTGAGTGTCAGCTGTTGGGGTTTGAAGAAATTGGCATTGGCTGGCTATTACAGTTTTTTTATGAAACCCTGAAAAATACAAAAATAGTATTATCTGTAATGTTGTGTCCTAGGAAACTGACATCTTTAGCAGGGGACAGAATGAAGATTAGACCTAAGTGTCACCACAGATCAACAGCAAATCCAGTGAAAAACCTACAGCAGAGAAATGATGTGCGAACAGAGACTGAGGTAAAGTACTGGCACATGTATCTGGTCTTGCTCACTTTTGAATTCTCTGTGGTTCAGTGGTAGAACAACAGAGCACAAAATTAATAGTGGTCAATTGTCCACTGTATTATCTATCATTTATAAAAGTTTCAAAGAGTGATCTTTTTAAGAGTGCTATCAGTGAATGTTGCTGAAGGCTTTTTATAATCTGTGTTTACCAATCAACTTGAAGCTTCAACATCCCCTCCCCCCTCTGGGGAATCCATGGGCATTTTCTGTTGTCCATGCCTGGGGGAAGGGAGGTGGGAAATTTGAACCTTGCCTGGCTGGGGTGAGGAATTTGAACCGAGAGTGTCAAGTTTTTTCAGCAGAATATTAGTGTTGTGTCTTGAAATATGACATTGTTTATGGTAAATAGTTTACTTTTGGGAGCAGATGGCTCAATAGAAACGGTCTACAAGGTGTAGGTTGTAAAGTTTGGTCAATATGTAGAAAGTCACAGTGGCTAAAATTGGCTGGGGCATTTGAAGACAGCTTTTTCCCTGGCAAAGGTGGAGGGGGGGAGGGGGCAGAATTTGGACAAACCAGTCCTCAAAAGTTCAAATGCCCAGGTGGCTGGTGGAGAGGGGGGGGAATTGAAGCTTTGAATTGATTGACACATGATAGAAGATCATTTGATAATAATAATAATAATAATAATAATAATAATAATTATTATTATTATTATTATAATAATTATAATAATAATAATTATAATAATAATAATTATAATAATAATAATCACAATTATTGTAGCTCTTGGATAGAATCAGTTCTTTTGACTCTCAGGTTGAGCGACCGAGAATAGAAAAGAAACAGGTCACAAGTGAGCATCCTGTCATCAAGAGAAAGAAGAAGAAATACAAAGATCCTGACAACCTGTGTATGTCCTTTTTTCCTTCTAGCTGTCGAAGCACATTGCAAATTTTCACTTCTGTGTAGCATTTTAGGAAACTTGTCTGCCTTTTATCCTTGTGGATATTCATAGCATATTAATGTGGAGAGTCAATTTGCAAATTTTGTGGCAGTGAAATGGCCTTAGGAGTTTGGGGAAAACATACATTATGTCATGCCAGGATGGCATGACCCATTTTAAATATGGTAGATAAATTTGGAAGGCTTTGGTGGATATAAATGCCATCTTTGGTGTCAAATATTGTGATAGTGCTCACTTGTCATCCCATTTCATCTCATCCCATTTCATCTCATCCCATTTCATCTCATCCCATTTCATCTCATCCCATTTCATCTCAACCCATTTCATCTCATCCCATTTCATCTCATCCCATTTCATCTCATCCCATTTCATCTCATCCCATTTCATCTCATCCCATTTCATCTCATCCCATTTCGTCTCATCCCATTTCATCTCATCCCATTTCATCTCAACCCATTTCATCTCATCCCATTTCATCTCACCCCGTTTCATTTTATCTCATTTTTTCTCTTCTATTTAAATCTTATCTCATCTTTTCTCGTTTTATCTTTCTCTTCTTATCCTATCTCATCCCATTTCATCCCATTTTGTCTCGTCTCATTTCTTCGCATAGGTATCCGGTTAGATCGCGCCATGGTTGGATCGCTCCCAGTTAGATCGCTTCAACCAAAAGTTAGATCGTGCCACTCGAAAGTTAGATCGCTCCATCAAATAAGTTACTTTGCTAACAACATAAGGTACTTCGCAATGTGAAGTATTACTTTCCAATGATCTTTAAAGTTTTATAGGTGATGATGTGTCTTGTGACGATTCGAGTACATCGTCCTCACTCTGTCCTTCATATTAGCCATCGAGCTACCGATGTATGATGTATAGCGATGATGGAATACATGATCGTGGAATAGATTATAACTTTATAGTCTGAAGTGTATTGAAAAAGATCATTCTAATACCAATACTGTCCAGTGTGGTCTTTTTTGCTGTTTGATGTAAGGAAACTGATATCTGCCATCTTTAATTAATAAATTAGATTACACTTCGTGAGTCCCTTACATGAGGCTTTATTTGTTTTTTCTGCGTAGCTCGGATTTTTTTCAAGCGCGCGCCAGCGATTTTAATCGATTGTTAGGTAAGATATACACGTCATTTAATGAATTATCAATTTAGATACCTTAGTTTTGCTACCTTAACCTTAGTTTTCGACATGGAGCGAAGTAAATTATGTAGGAGCGAAGCCACTTACTTGATGGAGCGATCTAACTTGCCAGTAGAGCGATCTAACCATGGTGCGATCTAACCGTAATTCATCACATCATTTCACTACACATAACTCTACTTTCACATTACATTAAAAAACCTTGCACCAACAGTACATGTATATGATGTTCTCTTGTCTACTTACAGGGAGGCGTCACACTCTCGACTTGGCGGCATCAGCATTAGCTGGTCTGGCCAGCACTGAAGATTTCACTAAAGTCAGATTGCGTAAAACTGCTGGGCCTGAAGAGAAGGAAAAGGATGAGTACAGAGGAATAAAACCCATTATGCTGATCCACATAAAAGGTAAATAAAAATCTTTTGATTTGGAAAGTCGCAAGAGTTTTTAACCCTTTAATCCCTAAGAGGGACAAGGTTCTAATTTCTCCTTACAATATCACCCTGGAATAAAAGGTTTAAGTCATGAGAATAAAGGAATGATCAGTAAGCAACGAAGCTCTTGATGGTTTTACAAATTCTCCCTGTTAGAACCTTGGAAATGTGTAGAGAACAGTATGGAGAATATGCATGATGATGCCAGGGTGTATAGGGCTAATTGTAAGGGAATATATAACAGGAGCTACATACATACATGTGGGAGACAGAGTGGCCTGATGGTCAGTGCACTGGACTCCGGGTCGAGAGGTCTGGGTTCAAGACCTGGCCAGGTTACTGTGTTGTGTTCTTTGGCAAGACACTTTTACTCTCCCCATGTCTCTCTCCACCCAGGAAGGAGTTTAAATGGGTACTGAAGAATTTTCAGGGAAGCCTGATGAAATACTAGGGGGTAACGTTGTGATAGACTGGTATCCCATCCAGGGGGGAGTAGTTACACTCCTTGTCGCTTGATGCTTTATGGAAACTAAGAAAGGCTCAGAAGACTTGAGTACAGACCTTATCTTTACTTTTACATACATACATTCATGTTAAGCCCTTTGTGTTTTGTGTACAGGACGGCGTCATCTTCAAGTACGTCTCGTTGAACCAAGTCTAAAGTCCTTAAATTCTGGAGACTGTTTTGCTCTTGTGACAGAAAAGGATCTGTTTACCTGGATTGGAAAGGAATCCAATCCGTATGAAAAAGCCAAGGTTTGTAAATGCATGTACTTCTGTAGGAATCGCTACATGCCGTTTTTTCTATTTCTACCTTCACCCCTATATCTACCATTGCTGATACAACTATTGTTACTGATGATACTGTCACCGATATTGCTGTTTCTGCTGCCTAGTTCTGCTAATGCTGTTTCTCTTGCAGCTAATACTGCTACTGATGGTAATTCTTCCTGTTTTTTTGTTCTTTTGCTTCTTCTGCTTCTTCGTTGCTTTGGTTTTCTGATATTACTTGTCTTATTTTTTTCTACCGCGTCTGCTACCACTACCACTATCACTTCTGTCTCTGCTTCTGCTTCTTCTGCTACTCCTGCTCAGTTTCTGCCACCACCCCTGATACTGTATTTGTAGATCTCATTTTGGATTGTAAGTCTTAAATAATAATTTTGACTTTTCCGTAGGTGACAGAAATTGTCTCCAAGATTAAAACAAAGAATGAATTGAACTGTAAGGCGCGAGACATTGTCACCATTGAAGAAGGAGACATGGACTTCAACGCTGCCTTGGACAAATTTGCAAACATTCTGAGTGGAGATCCTGGAAGTAATCCTGTTAAAGGTTGGCTAACATTTCTATCACCTTTAACCCTTTACACTCGATCATCAGTATGTATTTTCTCCATACTGTTCTCTATGCATTTTCTAAGGTTCTAACAAGGAGATTTTGTTTAACAATCTAGACCTTCTTTAGTTGGTGATCATTTTCTTAATTCTTGTAACCTTACTGTGTGATTTAGGGCTGATATTGTAAGGAGAAATTAGACGCTAGTCACTCTAAGGGATGACTGGATTAAAACTTGCTTACAAGTACCTCCTGACTGAAACAAGAGATCCTACAAAGTGCCATTTGTATGTTTAACCTTTTGACTCCTAAGAGTGACTATCACAGGATCACCCCTGGATCACACGTCGACATCACGAGAATAAAGGAAATGATCACCAACTAAGGAGGCTCTTGATTGTTAAACAAATTCTCCCTGTCAGCATTATAGGAAATGTATAGAGAACTTTTAAAGGAATATGCATACTGATGTTTGAGTGAAGCAGATTAATTGCCATGATACCAAATGTTTCGCGAATGATCACCATAACTTGAATTAAGAGTGGTGTCCAAAGCAATCAATGCATTCTGTGGAAAAACAGTCCCCTCTGGTTGACACGAAGTCATTTTCCCAGCTCTGTAATTTTCTTTTGCCAAGGGTTTTTTTTTAATAATGCTGACAGAACCGAGTGGAGTTATCGCAATGAGAAGTTTCAACCTGTCAACCCCTCGGAGTGACTTGCTTCTTATTTCTCCCCAACAGTTTCACCCTTGCATCAAATGTAAAGGAAAATATCATAAATTTAGGAAGATTCTCATCGTCAAACAAATTTTCATGGTCACTGTTATAGGGAATGGAAAGTGAATCGTGTCGAGAAAATCAATACCAATGATAGGGGTATAGGGTTTATCTCAAGTGAAATCTGTAATTTACAAAATGAATTTTCTATATGCTGAATCGAGTGCAGCGGTTCACAGTCAGCACTATTATATTTTGTTTTGTCTACACTAAAATTCAGTCACCACTTATCCTCATATAGATGCTCAAAAAATGGCGAAAGACGAAGAATACGAGAAGGGTGTAGTTAAGGGCAACATGGTTTATAAAATTCATTGGACAGATCCTCCAACTCTGATGCCAGTAGAGACTATGTGTGGACGAATTCCTCAGGTCTCCATTTTTGACACTAAGGAGGTAATTACATTTTATTAGTAAAGTTTTCCGCTTTTTGCTGGTGATCAATTATTTGATCATCTGTGAATCGTGTTCACGTTGGAAATCTTGTTTCTGTGTTTTAAAACACTGAGTCGAGGGTGACAATCTCTAACGCAGCGGTCAAGCATCCGCGCATGAGCGAACGTCGGAATGACCAGTTGCCAGTAGTTGGCGTGCATTGAGGCTGTCACAACCTAGATGTTACAAATAATAGCACAAGCCAGTTAGTCACGGTGTTTTGAAAGCGTATAACTTTTTAGGTAAAGCGCAAAGCAGAATAGTAAATCAACAGGATATCTGTACTTGAAAGAGCTTTGCGTTCGGAAAGTCATTAGCTTTCCTTTTCCCTGCTTTGTTTCCTTCTACAGATTTCAATGAAAATTTCAATTTTATTTCGTTTATTTTGCAAGAATGCGGTTGTTTCTTATGTTAAATTGTGAAATTTTGCACACTAAATCAGCGCGCGGCCGGCCAGTATTGATTCCTTCGACGTTTGGTCGGTTTTTCTGCAGATTTAGCGTTTTGTTTTGAGTTTTATCAAAACAGTTATACGGTTTTTTAATACTGCGCCATACTCGATTACGTGGTTGTGTACAACTCTTGTAAGGCAATTTGGCGCGCCACCCACATGAAGCCTATACAACATTCACCCATTCACAGACATTCGACCGCTGTGTTGCCTAAATTGCATTCGGCTACACTTTTTCTCTCATAGTCCTAGTCAACACATTTTGTTTTTATTCAGGTTTTCATATTTGACTTTGGTTCAGAACTGTATGTGTGGAATGGACAGCAATCGTTATCAGGGCAAAGGAAGTCGGCCTTCGCTCTGGCAAAACAACTATATGAAGAGCCTTTTAAACCGTATGGAAAAAATTATGATCCAATCTACCCGTATGGCAAACCTGAAAATTGCACCGAAGTAGACAATAAAGTTTCAACTGGCAGACCACCGTGGACGTTATTTGCAAGACTTCACGAAAAGGCTGAGACAATCTTGTTTCGTGAGAAGTTCCTTGACTGGCCTGATCCAACCAAGATTATTCGGATGAAGGGACACCCTAGCACGCTTGAACTAGCACCAACGGTACAGTGAATTTTGATTACTGTTTATCATTAGGAAACGGAAGTTCACTTCTGTTCTGGTTGGTTTGGTTATTGCTAACCCTTTAAACCTCAAGGGTGACTAGCATCTAATTTCTCCCCACAGTGTGCCTCCTGAATTGCACATTAAGGTCATGAGAATAAAGGAAATGATCACCAGGGAAGGAACCTTTTGATTGGCAAACAAATTCTCTTTGTTAGCACCTTAGGAAATTTATCAAGAACAGTGTGGAGAATATGCATACTGATGTTGGATGTAAAGGGTTAAGGGAGGAAAAGGTCAAAGGGTCCTGTAGAGAGTTAAACTAAAGACGATAGTAAATTTTAGGCTTGGTATTCAAAGCAGATTGTTGTTTAAAAGTGAATTGTTCGCGCAAAAATTACTTTGTGTCCTCGTCTCGAGCGTTTAAAAACTCGACTCGTGCCTTGAGTTTTCGAGGATCGAGATCGAGTTTCGAGGAACAGTCAACTTACTTTTGAGCGGTACTTTAAATTTCAGTTTGTAAAACATGCACAACACGAAAGACACGGAACAGTGTTGACAGTTTGAGAGTGAGCTTTGTTGTGAACAGTAATATCATGTTGGTTTTCTCCATGACTTTTAGCCTCCTCCTGTGGAACTGAAGCCCTGTGACCCCAAGAGCATGCTGAAAAGTCCACCGCCATTGCCAAGCCAGATGTTTGAAGGGACGAATGTTGGGCGTGGCAATGGGATTCCTACTGTGTGGGTGGGTGACGTTTACAAGGAGGGAAACCTTGTGACAACCGCCGGTCTAACAGTGTGGCATATTAACGAGTACAGACACTTTGAGGTACAGCCAGCACAACATGGACATTTCCACTCAGGTAAACACATCAATGCTGATAGTGTTATTTATTCTTGTATGATTCTTGTTTAGAAAGTGGTTGGCGCACGGGGTAGGAAGGACTGAGTTCGAGTCATTGCCGAGTCTCTGTACCATTGTCTGAGGCAAAACACGTCAATAACTGAGTGCCTTTCTCCACGCTGGAGTTTAAACCTTCCGAGTGTCTGGCTTGTAATTTCTCCTTAGATTATCACTTTTAAATCAAATGTAAAGTTCATGAGAATAACAGAAATGATCACAAATTTAAGAAGCTCCTGATTGTCAAACAAATTCTTCTAGTGAGTACCACAGAAGAAGTAAAGAGAACAGTGGGGAGAAAATGGATGCTAATTTAAGGATGGAAAAGGTTAAATGGGTTGCTTGTGAAATGTTAGGAAAACTCGACATAATGCCCTGGGGGGGGGGTTCAATGGATTAGGTGAGAGCAGACCTCCATTCAATGTCTTTAAGACGTTACTTCAATGTAGTATTTTGATGTTGCAGGGGAAGGCTACGTGATCAGGTGGGCCTACTTTGTGCTCGCCGACAGAATAGTCAAAGATCGGAAGTCCCGTTGTCGTTCAACCGTTGCTGGGCGCGTCCGCTGCGCTTACTTTTTCTGGCAAGGAAATGACTGTTCTGTGAATGAGAAGGGTGCAGCTGCCATCATGGCTGTAGAACTTGATGAAGAAAAAGGACCGCAGGTGAAATTTGTATTGAAAGCCTTATCCTGACGTAGTTTGTGCGTGCCGTCCTGTCTCTGTTTGCCTTCTTGCTTGCCTAGTTCTCTCGTCTTTTCGTCTGTCAGTCAGTATCTTCTTCTTTTGGCTGTTTTGTCTTTTTTTTTAATTTCTTTTGATTGGTTAGTTTTACCTCGATGTTATCTTTACAGGTAAGAGTGGTGCAAGGAAAGGAAACTCCAGTATTTCTAAATCTCTTCAAAGGGGGAATGATTATCCATACTGGCAGGTACACAGTTTGTGAACGTCTAATTTTGATCAGCCAGCAGTATTTGATTATCAGTAATATTTGATCTTGAGCCAAAATATGTTCGAGTGATTGCCTTCTCGGTGGAAAAAAAATCACTCTCGCAGCGTCTCTCTTCACAGAGGAGTACAGATTGACAAGGAAACGCGAAAATTATCCGAGGTGGGATGATGAAGGGAGTATCTTAGGATGGATTAGCTGCCTGTCTTAAAGGAGTAGCAATAATTTTACTCACTTTATACTATGGAAACCGGGATATGCTTCAGCGGTTTGGGCTATAAAGCTCATGCGCAGAAGTCGTCTTTGAATAATGAATCTGTATTTCAGATATTTCCTCAAAAATGTCCTTCACTGGTCAAATTTTCAGCAACCCGCTGTCCATTACACTAACACAATGCATGAATATTGGACGTCAATTTTATCATTGCGTTGCAATCAAACAGCAGAAATTCATGTTGGATGTTCTCAATCACGCTACCACGAACACAGCATTCGAGTGTGTTGATTCACTGGTAAACTTTATCATCAGGAGTCGAGATTATTCACGTATTCGTTGCATGTTTACATTATATATGTCCCATATATCATTTATCACGATTTAATTTGAATTGAATTGCAGTTAGGCTACTTGACTCGAGAACAGAAGCATCTCTCATTCTGTGTGAATAAAAGAGCCGATGAAAACTCGTGTTGAGACCAGCCTGCGAGCAAGCCTCATTCTTAGCGCTGCAGGATGCGCGTTTCTCCTCTGCGGAAAGAGCACAGACGAGTTGGGGAGAGGTTTGCGTGGCTCAAGGCGTTGTACTCTCGCGCAGGCGAGGAAGTGCTCGCGCTGAAGCCCCAATAACGAGGGCCTGTTGATATTGGTTTCGGTGCGCGAAAACGCGAGTGATCAAGTCGCGATTGGTTTTTTAATTTTTGCATCCAATCGGCTGAGAAAGTGGGTCGAGTTTTTTCGACCAATCAGAGAGCGAAGTATAGCAAACTGACAAGACAATTTCGGATTGCCTTCAAATGCTCACTTATAAATTGCTGTATCACGCTAGAACAAATCATTTTTTAAGCAGGCAGCCATACTAAACTTGCAATGGGAGATGCTTTTTTCTCAGGCCAAATAAATGTTTATCAATGATCGTGATAATGAACAGTTTAAAGGAACGATGTGTCTAACATTTTTTAGATAATCTACCGATCCCAAAAAACACACAGAGAAGAATGGTCTAAACTCTGAAAATGAAGATGGTAGAAAAGCTGAGCTACTTTTTGACAAATACTATTGTTTATGTGAAATTTCACTTCACTAATTCTTTTATTAACAGCTTACCCAAGGGCTGGTATGACACAGAGACGTAAGTTTAGTTCTGATTTTCTAACAATAATATCCGCGTAAGGAATTATTTTAAACAATATCTTGGCAGGAAAACTTCCCCTACCTGAACCAACTTTAATTTCTTGGTTAGAGCAGTTTTTAATTGGGTGTAGTGAAACCAGAACCAAAATAATCAAAGTGAGCAATTGGAACAAAGGTTTACATTATCATTAACCAATGAGAGCTCTAAGTGAAAACTTGCCAACTGCTTGAAGCGCGGGAAAACGCGAATGGCCGGGTCGCGGTTGTTTTTTAGTTTGCATCTGATTGGTTGAGAGGATGGTGCAAATCAAGTCAAGGATGGCGCAAGCAAAGTTGAGCGAAACGAAAGCAATCACGGGTTACTTTTGACACCCAGTAGAAAATTGCTCTGCTTTAAATCAAACTTTTTTTTGACGAGGGCGTTACTGACTGGCTTAAAACTCTAACTTGCCTTGAAAAGAAAGAACCAAGTCCTGAATTAACAGTTAAATCACGTAACAGTAAAAATGTAGTGTAATTTGGCGGGCGAGTGCTCATTATTTTCTCGGCGAAAATTGTGACCGCCATCTTTGATTTTAATGGAAGCGGATGGCTGACGGAGAGAAAGAAATTTTTCCTAAGGGGTGAGCGACAGTAAAAAAACAAGGAGAGGGGTGGGGGTGGGAGAGTTTTTTCGCTTTTCCCCGCTCATCCCCCCGCCGTGGACTATAACTCCAAATCAAACATGGCTGGTTGAATAAACGATGGTTCGCTTCTTAGCGTTAATTCACCCTATTAAGACGCCTGCACTGCAAGCTCATGAAAATTTTAATGTTAAAGACCAAACCCATAAACTTCCTGATGAAACCACAATAATCGAAAATAATTATTTCAACAAGTATGCTTTGGAGCACAAAACATCACGGTAACCTATGAGAAGCATAATTGAAACGAAGTTTAAAGAAAATAATTTTCATTTTTCCTGAAGTTAGTATTAAAATAATTCAAATTGTAAATGGAATTAACGTCTGAATACTCATTTGTCAAATTTCATAATTACATGATTTCCTGTTCATGATTCCGCCTCACTGCCACTGCCACTGTCACCCGCACAGTATATGTCATTTTGTTTAGCATTTCATGTCTTCTCAGTGGACACTGTGTGGTCACTTACATGATGTTATTGGGGCCCTTAAGCACCACGACGACGACGCCGACGCCGACGAATGATAGGCCTGTTGGTTGTCACACAACGCCCCTCTCCTCTGAGAGGGGGCGTTGCATGACACCCTAAAGAACAACTGCGAAGGAGATTAGTGATGGATTCAACGTGTTTTCAGTTTAAAACGCCGCGCGACCTCATCATCAGCATAACATGCGATGGTAGCCCTTGGTTTCAAAAAATTTTGGATAATTTGCCGTCGCGGATCCCGCCTCTAAACTTCGCTAATGTGATAATTTTACGCTGTTGTTTAGCAGAGGACGGCAAGCAAATGTACGAACTTTAAAACTTTCGTGCTGCGCCATGTAAGTGTTCCAATGTTGTTTGGCCTCATTCTTGTTGCCGTCGCCATCGTGGTTTGCTTAATGTCCCAACTGTATAAGATAGACTCCTTTGGTAGGACGACAGACTGAACTTATAGGATGCGCAAGTAACGCACATACAGACCATCGTTCCGTACACTCAGTTATTGGGTCGTCACCTACCGCACATAGACGCCTTACGTAGACAAACAAGGGGTAGGGGTGGGGTGGCTGACACTTGGAGGGGTGAAGGTGTTTCAAAGTAGACACCACCCTTAGTCAGGAGTATATCACGAGTGTGGTGGTTGGGCTCGTCTCTCTTGGTCCTTAGCTTATCTCTTGCGGGATGGCCGGTCGTTTGTGCTTATGTCAGAGGTGTTGAAGAGCAAGCACAAAGAACATTAACTGGTTCTCATAACTTAATACTTTCACTTGCTCAATAGGAAAAACATGGTAGACGAGAACACAGCGAAATTCACAGGTAGGCTTAACTCATTAACTTTGAGAGGAGATTTACTCGTTACTTCCTCTCCTCTCAGTGAACAGGTTATGAGAATAACCTTCGTCATGTTATCTTGATGTAAAACTAAATTTTCAATAATAACAATAATACTATAACTCGCTTTCATTTGCTTTCGTTTTCTGCCAGATTCCTCTGAGACTCGTTTGTATGTGATTCGTAATGAAGAACCTGGAGAGGCCTACCTGAATCAAGTCAAAGCAAGGTAAAGGCTTACTGTGTGGTGATCATTTCACTGTTGTGTCACATTAGGCACAGTTTTAATCTCCTCTCGCGATACGCTTGTCACGCGGAAAGTTTGTCTTTTCACGCGTCTTGAAATACTCTCTCTTGATATTTTGGAATGTTTTCTCACATAAAATACAGCTTGTCCCACCAAACACGCATATCGCGCAACACGTTCTTCACGAAACGCGCTCGTTTTAGATACTCCCAGGTGATCATTTGATTATTATATCGCATGAACTACAGTTCTAGTCTCCTCACGCACCGCGCTTATCGCTCAAAACGGTCGTCACACAACACGTTGGTCACGTAACACGCTGGCTTGAATACCTCAGATGAGGGCTCTAAAGGAGACAAAGAGGCAACTTTTATTTTTTTCATCTCATAGTTCATATTCGCTGCGATCAAGGACCAGTTTAGTTCTGGTGTCACGGCGTGAAGCTCACATCTACTTGTGGCATGGATGTAAATCCAGTGAAGATTCCCGCGCCACAGCCAAAGCAGCTGCCAAGAAAGTCCAGGAAAGGTAAGGCAGAAGTAAACAGATGCAAAACAGTTATGGCACAGGGAGTGTTGTGGGAGATTGGGCATTGGGTTTGCTTTACCAAGTTAAGGCAATTTTCAGTTGAGTTTCAAAAGTATTGTGGTGTTTTTCCTTCTGCGTTCTTTAAGTTTAAGTTCTTTTCTTGTTTGAGAAAACTCTCTCTATCCTTCAACCCCAAGAGAGGCAGAAATAATCCTACTTGCGACTTGGGTACTCTCGTTTTTCCTGGCTTCATGCAGTTGACGCGTTTTTGCTCGAGTTCCTATGGGCTCGTTTTGATATTTTCGTTCGTTATCATTGGCTGTTGTCACTACTGCGGTTTTGGTTACCGTACAGTCGAATTTACACTACCACGCTCTTTGATTGGTCCGGCGAATCCGCGCCGCCCTCTCAACCAATCAGATGCAGACTTAAAAGCCATCGTGTCCGACTCACTCGCTTTTCCCGCCATTGAGTTGTACTCGATATGTGTTTTGCATTGCAGGAAGAGTGTTGATTGCAATATGGCTGGGATTACAGCCTTTTCTCTCAGTGAAATCGAGGAAGGAAGCGAAACAGAAGAGTTTTGGAAAGTGATTGGAGGAAAGAAGTACTACTGCAGTTTGGCGCATGGTATGTAATTGACCTTGTTCACTCTTCGTGCTAGTTGGCGCAGATCGGGTAAATGATACATCAGCCCATATGAACGTGGAGTAGACATCTTTAGAAAGTGCTTCTCAGGAGCTTTCATGGACTAGAAGCATACAAGGGTTTCCATCCGTAGCTTCCGCCTTAAGTTGGAGGATTTCATCCACAGACCTCAGCTAGAACAAACTTGTAAAGCAACGTCATCACACCACGTGAATACTGCTGAAAGGGTTTATTTTTTTTACTGTGGGACTGTTCTAGTTTTGTAGAGCCTTACGTTTGACGAACAGGAATAGAGTAAGGAAAGTTTTGGCTCATCCTAGTCTTTTTAGGCTGCCATTTTGGGGTGTTTTGCGGAGGGTGGCGTTGTGTGACGTCTGAAAAAAATGAATTAGGATGGGTTTCCTCTTGATTCTTGCTCGACTACGGCGTATTGTTATGAGGATTTGTTTACGTGTTTATTTATGAAAGATTTTTTTTTTGTCGTAGATCCATCCAAACACAACTACCAACCTCGACTTTTTGAACTAAGCAGTGCCACTGGAAAATTCACGGCGAGTGAAGTTTTGTGTCCCTCACGATCGGAACCAAAACTGTGCCCGTTTCCATTCCTACAAGAAGACCTTTATACGGCCAAACAACCAGGTGCGGAAGCTAAGCATAGTTGTTACAAAACTGCACAGGGTAATCGCAATGTAAGGAGATTTGCGCGAGGAATAAGGAATGAGAGAGAGGGAGAGAGAGAGAGAGAGAGAGAGAGAGAGAGAGGCAGAGGGAGACGAGACGCCTTTTCCATTAACACTCCCTTCCCGGCCTTTTCCTCCCGCACCCTGCTACCCTGCTACCCCTCCCTGCTATCCCTCTCCCCCTTCCCCCTCCCCCCCCAGAAGACAAGTTTTTCTAAGACACAGATTTTTGATTATTAATTCGAGGATTATTTGCAGGGTTGTTTATCGTAGACGGTTACTATGAAGTCTACGTGTGGGAGGGTTGGATGCCTGAGGATGACGATGATGTGCGAACAGGCTCCGGAAGACAGCGCTGGGACAGAGACAGGAAACTCGCTATGGAAACGGCGCTGAGTTATGCTAAAGGTGTGCGATTTGTTTTTGTCCCTCTCTCGCTGCAAGTGATATTTTTGTCTTTAGGTGTATCGTTGTGTTTCTCAAGTCTATTAGTTGCCAAGTTAATTTCCAGTCATAATGAAATAAGAGATATTAACTTTTCTATCTATCATTAATTCCTTTCAATGATTTATGGTATTAATTTTTATTTATTTATTTATTTATTTATTTCGTATCCCTCAGAGGCTGGAAAGCGCGTCTCTCACCGTGTGTACGTGGTGTATGCCGGCATGGAACCGATGACGTTTAAGGTTCTTTTTCCTTACTGGAATGATACACCAGATGTCATCAAAATACAGAAACTGGTATGTACTATGTCGAAGCATGCAAACAAGCAAGTTTTCCTTGGCAAGTTGCACTCCTTTTAGTAGAATTAAAAAGCCGCCCTATGCTTCTTTTATTGTAATCAGTCATTCTTGTTGTCTCTTTTCTAGGACGGAAAGCAACCTAATACAAAACACTCTGCCAGCGACTTACTACAACAGTTTACAAAGTAAGTGACTATAGAATCATGTTTCCTGTCACACAGAGCTGTGTTCTTCTCCTTCAGCAGTTTCCATCAGTGCTTCTGGTATGAGATTTTCCAGACTGTGACAGAGGGCGCACGCTTAAACATTGCAATTATGCAGAGTTTGCTTTAGTAAACTCTGTGATTGGTCCAGACTAACACACCATTCTCTTAACCAATCAGATACATACTAAATCGTTGTCGACGTGGTTGCCTGCATTTTCCCGCGTTTTAGACATTGTGCTTGTTTTAAATTTGGATGCCCATTGGCTCCACGTGTTTATTTTCTTTTATATGATTGGCTGATCTTGTTATTGTGTGTATGGTCTCTATCTTAACTACTCCTGAATTGCTTTCAAAGGGATTTTTACACACTGGCTGAACTTCAGAAGATACCACCACCCCAAGGAGTCGATCCAGCGAAACTTGAAGTTTACTTAAGCGATAATGACTTTAAGGTGAGTTCAGAATGAATTTAATGAGAAAGTGCTCTAACTTACGTTTGTAAGCGAACGTCAACATGTCACTGTGTGTCGTGGTGTTCTATATTGATATGGCCACAACAATTCAGCATTTTCCTTTTCTTTTTCTAGGAGATTTTTAAGATGGAGAAAGAGGCATTCAGTAAGCTCCCAGGCTGGAAACAAATCAATCTAAAGAAAGCTGTTGGTCTGTTCTAGAGCAAAAAATAAACCTCGAAACTACATGGTGGTAACTCAGACTATTTATATCCTTGTCGACAGGTGCGAGAAGAAGGAAACAGTGGTTATTACTTATAAGATCTGATGCGCTAGATTGCCTCTGTCAACCTTTTATCTCCCAGAGTTGATTGACGTGTCATCTCTCCTTGTGATTCCACCGTGTTATTTTGCAAACATGTTATGAGAGCATACAAGCTAGTCAACTGGGGGGTTAAGTCTTGATACAACACGAAATTCTCCCGTTTATATTACAAGGAAATATTTGGCAGTCTGTTGGGAGAATTGCAAATATGATTCTGGGAGTTAAAAGGTCAGGGATACCTAACTTTGAGATATAGTGTGTCGGTAAGGAATGATAATAAGATTATTTTCTTACGCGTATTCCCGTAGCATTTAGTGTGCTGGGTGACACGAGGCAAGTTTAAAGGCAGATAGCTTTATGTGTAACCTAAAATGCTAAAAGATGTATGTTTATTGTAATGATGAATTACCTTGTTAAGATAAAGCTATTGATATAATTTTTGATGTAATTTTCTTTGCGCAGCATCATTAGGCTTAAAAATGAAATGTGATTTTTATTTAGTTCAAATTTTAGATGGTAATATGATAAACTTAGGCGTTAGAATGTGTTTCACGTCAGTTTGGTTTCAATCAAATTGGCTCACCTTGAATTGAAAAGAGTTATTTCAATTTGAATTTCAAGAAATTGTTTTGAGTCAAATATTTTTATAGTCGAGAATTAGATTGCAAGTAATTTGCGGTACTTGATAATATTGATTTTAGAGGAAATATATTTTTGAAATTACGCAGTTGATTTTAGAGAAGTGTTCTTCGGAAAAGGTTTTAAAATTCACAGCCATTATTCTTTTTCAGACGGAAAATCTCGACAATGTTTTCTTTATACGTTCGTTTCTTCATATTTATTTCTTCGCATAATTTATTTCTGTATCTCAAAGATTTCGTTAGAATTCTGCTGGGCGGATGTAATAGATTTTGCATTAATTGTTATCATATGTAAAGATTATGTTTGTTGCATATTTTTCATTTCAAAAAATACCATGACTAAACTTGAGTGTTAAATACAACGATTACAGTTCCTTTCGGCTAATGATTTCGTCAGATGACCTGGGATAAGTTGGAGCGCTTTTCGATTGAGTGTCTTGAAACGGAAACCAAAATAATTACACTGGCCAATCAGGAGAGGAAAATACCTTGAAGAACCAATGAGAACTCAAAGTAAAACCGAGAAAACTGTCTAAAGCGCGGGAAAACGCGGGCGACCAAATTTTGATTGGTGTTTGTTTTGCATCGGATTGGTTGAGAGGGTGGCACGATATTTTTTTGACCAATCACAGAGCAAGTTAGAACAAGACCAAAGCAATCCTGGATTTGTTTTGACACGTACTATTGAATCGAAGATTGTGCTATTCGTAAAAATCGGAAGAAGTCAGAGCTGGTAATATTTCTTAGGCAATGGACACATCTCGACCCAGGCAACGAGCAATTTTTTTCCCACATTCCTTTTCATGTCGAAAGCACTGATTGCCAGGGTCGAATGAAGTTGGAATCATTTTGAGTTTCCTGCAATATGATTGGCTAAGTTTCTTAAGAGCAGTTTTGAATCGACTGTCGTAAAACCATAACCAGAATAATCACAACAGCCACAGCCAATCATAACAAAGGTTTTGTGTCATCGTCAGCCATTTAGGACTCAAAGTAAAAACTGAAAAGCTACCAAAAGCGCGGGAAAACGACTAAGACACGTAGTGTTTCCTACAATTCTTGATGTTTTAATGGTTATAGCAAATTATTGTTAATCTCAGATTATTCAGTAAGCTTAATGTATTATAAGAATTGAGCTAAATTGTTTTCGTCAAATTGAGCAGGAGAAGGTTGTAGATACAGAGAAAATTATGAAAGCTGAAATGAGATTAAATTTATGTTCTATGTTAATCCTGATGTGATGTACACAGTAATAAGAAGCTTTGCGTCAGGTTTTTATGCAGTTAAAAAAATATTACATGATTGAGTGTGTCCTGTGCTTCATGCGTTTACCTTGCATTTCATTTGTTCATACGCCCTGTCTCCCATGCATTTGTTCATTTTGCTCGTTCGCTCTTTTATTTGTTCGTTCGCCCGATCTTTGTTTGTTCAATCATCAGTTTGCTTTCTCTTTGTTTATTCACTCGTTTGCTTTCTCTTTTTGTTGAGTCACTCGTTCCCTTTTTCTTATTTTTTTACTCACTCGTTTCCTCTCTCTTTCTCTTACCCATTCGTTCCTTTTCTCTTTCATTCTCTTTGTTTCTGTCACCCGTTCGCTGTCTCCGTTCTTCACTCACTCGTTCGTTTTCTCCTGCATTCTTTGGTTACCTCGCTCTTTTGTTCAAATTTTTGCAGTCAATATTTCACTGTATCTCTCATCCTTTTTTTTTTTTTTTTTTTTTTTTCTTGTCACCCACGGGTCGTTCCCTTTTCTCTTGGTTTGTTGGCATGCCTTTTCGTTCGCCACTCCGTCGCTTTTTGGTTTCCTGTCCCCCTCCCCCCTTCCTTACCCCCTCCCCCTTAAGTTTTCTCTCTCCTTCTGTCCCCTCCTCTCTTCCTATTTGCTATTTTTTCGTGTTGAACTCGCAAAGGAACGTGTCACATTTCAATCCTTCAAAAGGATGTTTTATTGAAAAAATTTTTTATAAAACTGTTTATTCGTCATACGTCGTCCATGGGACTGCTTTTCGTGTTTTTCTATCTCATCTTTACTGTAGGAGGAAAGAAACCTTGCATTGGTGATCATTTTCACAGTTGACTAAAAAGTTGACTCGCGCAAACTACACACACTCCCACCCCCTGGTTCAATCAGTTTGCTTTTTCTCACGATCAAGTGATCGAAATAAACCGGGACCCTGGGAACGAGATCGACTCATTTTTTTCTTGGGTGCAGTAATGACTGATCATTCTCGTCTTCAGGTCTTCAAATTTGTACTATCTGTTGTAAATGACGATGTCATTGACATAAAATAACTGAGTGACCGAGAATGAGTCGCACGAAACTATTCCATGTATAACACGAGACCGAAGGAAGCGATAACTCTGAGAGCCAGGATGAGCTGAGCAGGAAAGCAAAATTTTTCTAATAGAAGTGTGCCGATCTTGTGCATGCGCGTGAAAATTTGAAAGGCTACAAGAATTAGAATTTCTGAGGCAACTTAACCGCACATCGTTGTGTGTTAGTGTTTAGAAATTTCTCTACAGGGTTCACTTACCCTTGACGTCTAATGCATTAGCAGGGAAATGTTTCCCTCAGGACATGTTAGAGATATTTTCGGCGTAAGGACGTAAGTCTTTTGGTTTGGAGCATCTGGCATCGGAATCGTCAATATATCCTTAGAGTTTTCTTTGGACACACTAAGGACGGAAAGCGGGGTAGTTAACTATGGGACTAAGCAAGAATTTGCATAGAGTTATACGAGTGCATTGGTACCGTCAAGAAAAAATGGGAAATTTACCAGGAAATTCTGAGAAAAATTCACGCCACCGCATCAACCTCGTTTTCAGGATCCCTCTCTGATCCTTGGAACGAGGCTGAACTGCAATTCCACTTAATCGGGCAGGCTGCCGTGATTGTCACTTAGCCCCAATTGCTCTGTGCCACGGAGGTATTGTTTTCTAGCCGTTTGGTCTTTTGGTTTTTATTTTCAAATGAACAAGCTTTTCCTCCGTGATAAATATCGCCAACACTTCGAGAGGCCCCGTACTGATAATTTTTCGATTTTGGGGGCCGATTATTTGACATTTTGGCCTTAAGGTGGGCGCTTATTCAGGGGAGGGTGCTTATTCGCGGAAATACTTTATATTTTGTATAGCAACCCCACTTAGCCCAAATGGATAGCGATAAAAATTACTATCCTAGGGTTTGGATCTGGAAGAGGAAATTGTAAAAACTACCTTTGGTAGGGATTACTTGCCAACGCTGTACTTGAAAGATGAGCATCTTCCACTGTCATGCCAAACTCCTTTCGAATCAGCGTGCGTTGTCTATGAAACCAAACACGTTTGTCACATAAAAGAAAAGTGTCTTGTTCCCAACAACCTCAAGCCGGAGACTGTCGAAAAAGCCTCTCGGTGTTTGCGGTAGTACTTCACCAAAGACTTACATCATTATTGAGTGATTGAATATCTCAAGTCTAAAAAGAACTTCAGCGGGTTACATTACTCTCAGAAAAAGGCCAATTGAGTCTCTCAAGCTGATATATAATAAATATTTTGGAGCAACTTCAGAATACCCCGCAACTCATTTACATGTCATTGAATAAGAATAGCGTCTATTGTGTTATGCCTCGATCTTCAAAGCCTCCCGACACATGTAAGTGAGGCGGACCAAAGTTGCGGGGTATTCTGAAGTTTAGCCAATATTTTAATAACCTCGTTTTCTCAATCCGTATTGTAGGTTGCAGGACCTCGTTTTTTCCGCCCGGATTTATGGCCCGCGAACTTCGCATTGCGGGCATAGCTTCGAGCGAAAAGAAAAAAACTCGAATTCGGTTAGTAAGGGTTACCTTTTTTGGACAAGATGTATAAGCCACAACATGATGGCTCCTGAAACAATTGCGAGTAGCGACACCATTAGCGCCAAGGTAGAGATCTTCATTGGTGTTGGAGATGCAGGATGACCGACGAGACTTCCATGATTAACTTTTACAACAGGAGAGCTTGAAGTAGTAACCGCTGTAGATAACATGCAGATAACTTAAGGGTGACGGTGGTCTGCGCAATATTGGTGACGCAAATCTCGTTAGCGAGCGAAGCATTATTACTAATAGGTCATTATGGAATTTAGTATCCTCTGTGTAATGCAAGTCACAGCAAAATGAGAATTGTGTTGTGTGTCACTAAAATTAGAAAAGTAGCGAATTTTGAGCCGGTCACAATCGCTTTGTCAAAAGCTTGGAAAAATTAAAAATTCTGAGTCCTCAACGAAAAACCGA